AAAAAAAAAGAAAAAAAATGAACTTAAAAAACAAATAAATTATAAATTGATAAAGATGAATGATTTAATTTTTTATATTAACACGAGGTTATAGGTTTACCCCAGTGATTTTATTTATGAATTCCCTATGTGAAAATTAAATCCATTAGTCATTGCCAATATTAGATTCTTTACCGGTTTTTTTTTTTTTTTTTCAAAAAAAAAAAAAACCAAAGCTATTTTTTCCCATTGCCAAATTTTAGGCCGTAAAATTCCTAAATCCTCCTGAAAACATTGTGATACTTTATAATTATCTTTATTAGCCTCCCTCACAGATATTCTTAGGGATTTGTCGAGCGTTCCTTCCTGACAAAGCCCTGAGAACATCTGTGCTAAAGCAGCTATATCTGATTATTATCATATTAATTTTTCTCATTTCTTTTTCAAACAATATAACTTTTCATGAGTAGGTGGTCTCTTAAAATAATGAAGTAGGTTCTCTAATCAGATTAATCCTCTCATTGTCCTCAGATATACAGTAGTTCTTGTAACCTTTAAACATGTGGATGTTAATCTTAGAATGTCAGGCAATTTAAATGAAAGCAAGTGAGCAGTACTTTCTAGAGGTACTGTGTATCATGAGGAACAAGGTGACTCACTGGATAAAAATAATTCTAATGTGTGACCAGTTAAATGAAAGCTCCTGAGCGATTCTTTCCTGTGGTACTGTTTATTCTGCTGTATGATGTGATTTGAACTTTTTTAAGTCTATGGATGAAAAAACAGCAGGGTGACAATTTAATCAAATGGAGCCTCTTTGGAACTCTGTATATTTTTTGGCATAATTTTGGCCAATTAAACTAAATGTGAAATTTGTCTTTCTTGAACATTCTTGGGAGTGAAAAGATCTTATGGAAAAAAATAAACAATGGCTAATTTCCTCCTAGATTGGCCTCCTACACAATCAGTTCTTTCAAGCCTATTGAATTTGTCAAGAGCCCTTATTAATTTCACGGTGAGGCACTGAAGGAGCCAAAAAAAACTCCCGCCTTTTGGAAACTGAATTTCCTGTGAAACTAAATTTAATTTCTTCAGGTAGAAAAAAAGTAATTGACATGGTGAGTTTCATGTTTTGTTTTATTCAAATATAGACGACGAAATGAGATTTTGATAATTAAAAAGAGATCAGAGGGACTGTAATATAAATGTAAATTCCAGACACAAAGAACTTGAATATTTTAATAGACATCGTGTCATTGTTTTTAGCACCCCGGGTATAATTGTAACAAATTTAAAATTTTAAATACCTGAAAGAGCCTTTTGACTGAGGATTAGATTCAGGTTTCAAAGTAAAGAGGATTGCGCCAATATGCTCTTCCTTTACACAGTAATTCCAATGTTTTACTCCATAAAAATAGTCTCGATAAAATCCCTCCGGAGAAACTGAACTCGCATGACCAATAAGTCTTGAAGAACCAAGATCGCAAAAGCTTTTAAAGCGATGCTTGTAATTCTTTATAAATGAATCTCTGTTAGGACAGTCCTCTATGGGGCATTCCACCTCGTATCCCGCTACGCGCTGTACGAATTTCGGCTGACTACAACTGCAGTTGAAGCGAGAAATCCCCTCGTTGCTTTCAAGGCCGCTCTCCGGACCTTCGTCATCTTTCTCCCACGTTGCTTTCAAAGCAAGACTTCTCTCTTTAAAGTTGTTCAGTGCGTGAATTAGTCTCTCATCGTCAGAATTCTGGCAGTAGTAGTGTCTTGAGCAGAATAATCTTTTATCACTAGAAACGTTGTACGTTTGTAAATTTTCTCCATCGCTAAGCGTCGAGCCGCATACCGAGCAAGTAAAACACTTGTGATGACACAGCCACGGTTCAGAGACAAAGCCATTTGCATTTGAAGGAGGATTAACGCTTTGAGCCGACCATAAGCTCACCACATTTTCGAAAGTCTCCAATTTGGATTTACACACAAAACAAGTCACACTTCCCGCCATGATATGAACGTTTAAATTCACAGCGACATTATTCAAATCGGCCGTGAGGTCCGATCGGGGTTATTAATGAATCCTTAATGAGAAGCGAATAACAGGAAACATTTGCACGCTGAAAACACGAGGGAAAATCCTTTTCAGGCGCTCAGTCAATTAACTTTTCCTTTCGAACTAATTAAGCTCTATGCGGTTTTCAGGTCAGTAGCAAACCTGTTCGTGCAAACGTGGTCCTCGAATTCATGATGAGTTAATTGCGTGTCCTGAGGCTAGCAACGCTGCTCATAAAATAATTATGTGAAAGTATTGTTTGGGTTTTAGCTGACTGGGTCGTTGCTTGCGCTCCACTTGAAGAGCGATGACAGGCCATCACAAAGCAATGTCAGCTTCCATTGTTTTTGTAAATGACCATGAATAAACTTGGTCTCGTGTCAATGTTGTCCCCTAAATGAAAGCCAAGAACCCAACACCCATCCAACTGTGTCCAACCGTCGTTTGTCTTCTGTCGCCAAAAATGCAAACATCGAGGCAGGTGTTAGAATTTTAAAGAAAAGATGTTGTTCAAAGACAGCCGCCATGATAATAAATCGAGAAAGTCCCGGTGACAAGTTTCAATAATTATCGCCGGTTCGCAGGTCTGATGGGAGATGTAGAGCTACTTTTCAAGATGGCGGAATCAACAGACGAAGTAAAGGGACAGTTTCTATTTTGTCCTGTCTGCCGTTTAAATCACGACCAAGGAAGGAAACACATATATACGAGGAAGCATAAGACATCACTTGGCAAGATCCTTTTGAAATTTGGAAAGAAGGTGGGTAGTTTACAGCGTTTACAGAGAAAAGATTTTTGTATCCACAATAGCGAGGAGAAACAACAACAAACAACATTTTTAAGATATAACGAAACTTATTTACGCCGACAGATCAAAATATCCTGCTTATCCTGGAGTTTGTACATTTCTTCTTTCTTCCATTTGAAACAATAGAATCGCCATTTGAGAGCTTGAGATACAGAAATATGCATTTCTATCAGCGGGGGGTCGACACCAGGGAATCCCCGGACATTTGCACAACGACGTTTACATTTTTCTTTGTCGATCCTACGTGCATTCCAAATCCTGGGGGTCTTTCCCTAGAGATCCTACCACAAAAGGGCAAAGGCGATCCAATCCCCTGTCCCTGACTAAAAATTTGCAGTAAATGTCAGCTATTCTTGTGCCATGCCCGCGTATCTCCATGGATGATAGGTCCATCCTCAGCTGGAAAATTACCTTTAAACCAATTGAGCATGACTTATAATTACTGTAAATAAAATACAATTGCCCCATATCAGGTTGATGAAGCAAGGAAGTTTTTAAAGAAACCCTCTGTTGAAGATGGTGAACTTGAGCCTGGATCAAGATTCTGGTGTCATTTTTGTGGCGAGAACGTAGATAAACATGTGACAGATCGACAAGTATCAATTAAGTATGGTGGAGTTTTTGAGCATTTTGCGAGGTAAAAAAAGATATCTAAATCTTTGATAGCACTTGGGTTTTTAAATTAAAATGAAGGGTTGTCAGAGAAAATTGAACACTTTACTGTTATAACTTACAAATTTTCCTTTTTTAATTACCTTGTGTTTACTCATAAAAAAGGGAAGAATTTAAAATAAGATTGAAAGACACTTTGTTTCTTTTTTTCTTTATTAATTAACAGATATTGTGGTATTGTGTCTTATGATAATGCATCAGTCAATTCCAGCTTATTCATTGTAAAAGTAAACCTGGTGAAATTTTTATTTTTTAAGTGAGGGCCACAGAAAAAATGTCCACAACTACTGGTGGGAAAATGGAGCTGATAAAAACCTTAAAGACAAGTTCCTTGTTGACAGGGATACATTTAACAGGTTTGTGGTCTGTTTTGAGGAGCATGGTGTCCATACTCACTCATACGCCCGTGCTTACAGCTGAAATCTGGAAAATATAACATAAAATATATTGGTTATTAATCTTTCGCCTTTTACTGTATTGGTGTATTTGGCCATCTGAAGGGTATTCATGTTGCCCTTTGCTCATAACCTCCTTGATGGCATCACTGTTTTGTCTTTTTTTCCATAAACATTGCACCTTACTGATAACACTAAAGGTGTACATTAATTAACTATTGCATTTTCTTTCGTATTTATTTACTGAAAACATCTTGTGAAAAATGCAGGACATAGCATTTCTGAGCCCCTAAATTTGAAAAATTTTCTGGGGGAGCATGCCTCGAGACCCCCTTAGTTTACAGTACCTTCCCAGGTCTAACCTCTCTCTCTCTGTTCATACTCCTTAAAAAAACTCACGCTATGCCCCTGTTTTCTAAGAACAAATTTTGTTCTTATTGTGATCAAGGTCTCATTGAATTTGTACAAAAATTTGTTTCAGCTACAAAGATGGTGTTGACAAGAAACTACAGGATTTTGAAGCTGAGATGGAACAGAAAAGACAAAAGGTAGAAAACCTCTTCCTTAAACGTATATGGCTAGTTTGTCAGAAAGAAGAAGAGAAAGTGGTTTTGTTTACTTCTCTTCATGTACATGTACTCATAAAAAATAAAGAGAGAATGACGCACAAAATCATTAGCCAGTGCTGTTAGGTTTTTCCGTTTTAACAGTTTATCTTAATATTATTGTTAATAGGCAGTTTCCCAGATTAAACAGAAAGAAGTTACCCAAGCCTTTATAAGCCAGCAGGTCTGTCTTGTTCAAGCACTTCAAGCAGGGTAACAGTATCCTGAAATAGATATTTGAGATATTAATAAATGCATGTATTTAACTGAGAGACTTTAAGAGTCAAAAAGAAGTTTATTATTAGAAATCAGCTTGCAAAGTCTTTGCATACCATTCATATCATCCAAATTCTAATGTCACTTGTTGGTCACTGGTTACCATAGCAATAGGATGGCTTCTGATTTCACCCTTACCTTTAAAACTGCTGTTTGCACTAAAACAATTAAAGCAAGAAAGTCAGGAGCTCCATTCTAGCACAGGGCACAGAGGAGTGTTTTGTGATGGCAAACAAAGTGAAAATTTTACTGCCAAACGAACAAGTTGCCTCTGTTTACTGTAGAATCTATTATGAATTTGACCTTCCAAATAGTCATACGATCGTGATAATATTTTACCAGGTTAGTAACATGCTCACATGACTGTTTGAAAGGTCAAGTTCATAATAGATTCTACAGTAAACCGAAATGACTTGTTCATTCTGCAGTAAATTTTTTTTCTTCATTTTCTGGCACAAATAACTCCCCTACGCCCTTTGATTCTAGGTCTCAGCATCTGTTGTTACCCAGAAAAAGTTTGCTATACAATTGCTCTCTTTTCACCCAGGGGATTTACATAAATCATTGACCACAAAGTTGTTACATAAACTTGTTATTACTAGTAGCTAACTATTCAGGTACATTATAGCTATGTATTAGTGTGAGGTGAAGAGACCATGGTTCCATTTTTTAATGTTAAAACACAAAAGAAGAAAAAAAGGAATGATGCCAATATCTAGTCCCTGTGACCAAAAATCTTAAGGGTATCCCAAAATAATTTATTTATTAATGTAGTTAGACAGTTTTGGTTTTTGTTATTACATCCTGAACATTTGATACTGCAGCCACCCCAGATACAAGTAACACCAGAAATTGTTTACAAGACAGTACAGAATGAACAAGGAGTTCTGCAAAATCCAACAGGATGGTTTGTATTGTCAAGCAAGGGAGGATATCTAGGGAGTTTTTTAATCATGTTTTCATTTTTTTATGTTGGGGCTAGAACTGTCTCACTCCAGTGTTTCTGAGTCACCCTTACCCTCATCCTCTCTTCTCCCTCTCCATAAAAACACACACACACAGACACTGCAAAGAAGCTTACTGACCTCTTAATGTGAGTGAACGGAATCTGAAAACCATAATGAGTATTGCTTTGAGCTACTTTAAAAAAAAATCCCAAAATTTCACAAAAATCTCCTATCAGTATGTCATGTGCAAGTACAGCAAAAGAGGTTTCATTCAAATGAACTGATCAATGAGTTTGTCTACAGGTGAACGGAAACTAGAACTGTTCATTGCTTATTGTTATAACATTTTTGTTGTCTGATCGTGAGAGTCTCATTACATGTGCCTCATTCTAAGTCAAGAGAGGAAATGCATGAGGGTTGCTAAAACTCAAGCATGATTTTCAGAGGGTTGGGGGCACTCCCTCAAAATTCCTGCGAGGAGAAAGTCTGAGTGACTATCCTTGGACCATGCAAGAATCAGATTACAAAAATATGGCCTGATCTCAGGTTGCCCTTCCTCGATACATCCACATACAGCTCCATTTATCAGGGAATTTGACCCAACAGCATGAGTCCTGTTTTTGTCTTGATGCAGTCTCAGTACTTGAGGAGTCTTTCTTTTGTGTTGACAGGCATGAAGGACAGAGAGTATGGGGTGGAGGAATTGTAAAATACAGGTAATTTTTTGTGGGGATATAGAGGGGATAGTATATAGTAGGGATATAGTAGATATAGGTTACTGCTCTGATTAGAGAAGTGTGCTGCACTGATGAATTTTAACAAAACATTGAAGGGAAACTACTTGTTGACATTGCATCATCATTTTAAGGCCTCACTTCTCCAAGCTTGGAAGCAAGCTTCTGACTTCAGTGGGTACGCTGCGATAGTTGGTTTGCAATGGGTGGATTGTGGTGGGTGGGTTGCGGTGGGTGCTTTGCTATCGGTGGAATATGGCGGTTGGGTTATGGTGGGTGGGTTGTGATGGGTGGGCTGCAGTCAGTGTGTCGCACTGGATGGGTGCTGGTGACTTAACTCTCGTCATAAGCTTGCCAGAGGGCCACACTTCTTCTGGGCCAGGGCTTTGCTCTGGAACTAAAGTGTTCCGAGGCAAGCAGCTTGCAACTCTAAGAAGAGTACAGGCAGCTCGTCAAAATGACAGCACTGTGAGATCCAGGTCTACAAGCCAAAGTCTAAGGTCAAAAAACAACATAACATCTTATTAAACACAGTCCATCTTAGCAGGCAGACTATCATCTGATTTCTCCCCAAGACAAATTTTAGCAGTTGCCAACAAATTAACTGTGACAGAGTACATTCTAGGCAGTTTATACCTTTCAGTCCATTTTTATCATAACCTTTTCATTTCTATGGAAAACGGCACAATAATATTTACTTAGAGTTTTTTAAAGTATTGTTTGGGTTTTAGCTGACTGGGTCGTTGCTTGCGCTCCACTTGAAGAGCGATGACAGGCCATCACAAAGCAATGTCAGCTTCCATTGTTTTTGTAAATGACCATGAATAAACTTGGTCTCGTGCCAATGTTGTCCCCTAAATGAAAGCCAAGAACCCAACACCCATCCAACTGTGTCCAACCGTCGTTTGTCTTCTGTCGCCAAAAATGCAAACATCGAGGCAGGTGTTACAATTTTAAAGAAAAGATGTGGTTCAAAAACAGCCGCCATGATAATAAATCGAGAGAGTCCCGGTGACAAGTTTCAATAGTTATCAACCAGTTCGCAAGGTTTGATGGGATATGTAGAGCTACTTTTCAAGATGGCGGAATCAACAGACGAAGTGAAGGGACAGTTTCTGTTTTGTCCTGTCTGCCGTTTAAATCACGATCAAGGAAGGAAACACATATATACGAGGAAGCATAAGACATTACTTGGCAAGATCCTTTTGAAATTTGGAAAGAAGGTGAGTAGTTTAGAAAGAAAAGATGTTTGCATCCACAACAGCGAGGAGAAACAAACAAACATTTTTAAGATATTACGAAACTTATTTACGCCGACAGATCAAAATATCCTGCTTATCCTGGAGTTTGTACTTTTCTTCTTTCTTCCAGTTGACACGATAGAATCGCCTTTTGAGAGCTTGAGATTTCTATCAGCGGGGGGTCGACACCAGGGAATCCCCGGTCATTTGCACAACGACGTTAACATTTTCTTTGTCGATCGTACGTTCTTTCCAAATCCTGGCGGTCTTTCCCTGGAGATCCTACCACAAAAAGGCAAAGGCGATCAAATTCCCTTTCCCTGACTAAAAATTTGCAGCAAATGTCAGCTATTCTTGTGCCATGCCCACGTATCTCCATGGATGATAGGTCCATCCTCAGCTGGAAAATTACCTTTAAACCAACTGAACATGACTTATAATTACTGTAAATAAAATATAATTGCCACATATCAGGTTGATGAAGCAAGGAAGTTTTTAAAGAAACCCTCTGTTGAAGATGGTGAACTTGAGCCTGGATCAAGATTCTGGTGTCATTTTTGTGGAGAGAACGTGGATAAACATGTGACAGATCGACAAGTATCAATTAAGTATGGTGGAGTTTTTGAGCATTTTGCGAGGTAAAATAAAGATATCTGAATCTTTAATGGCACTTGGGTTTTTAAATGAAAATGAAGGGTTGTCAGAGAAAATTGAACACTTTACTGTTATAACTTACAAATTTTCCTTTTTTAATTACCTTGTGTTTACTCATAAAAAAGGGAAGAATTTAAAAAAAGATTGAAAGACACTTCCTTTTTTTTTTCTTTTTTAATTGACAGATATTGTGGTATTGTGTATGATAATGCATCAGTCAATTCCAGCTTATTCATTGTAAAAGTAAACCTGGTGACATTTTTATTTTTTAAGTGAGGGCCACAGAAAAAATGTCCACAAGTACTGGTGGGAAAATGGAGCTGATAAAAACTTTAAAGACAAGTTCCTTGTTGATAGAGATACGTTTAACAGGTTTGTTGTCTGTTTCCAGGAGCATGGTGTCCATGCTCACTCATACGCCCGTGCTTACAGCTGAAATCTGGAAAATATAACATAAAATATATTGGTTACTAATCTTTCGCCTTTTAGTGCATTGGTGTATTTGCCCATCTGAAGGGTATTCATGTTGCCCTTTGCTCATAACCTCCTTGATGGCATCACTGTTTTGTCTTTTTTTCCATAAACATTGCACCTTACTGATTACACTAAAGGTGTACATTAATTAACTATTGCATTTTCTTTCGTATTTATTTACTGAAAACGTCTTGTGCAAAATGCAGGACATAGCATTTCTGAGCCCCTAAATTTGAAAAATCTTCTGGGGGAGCATGCCTCAAGACCCCCTTAGTTTACAGTACCTTCCCAGGTCTAACCTTTCTTTCCATGCGCACACCTTCAAAAACCTCACACTATGCCCCTGTTTTCTAAGGGCAAGTCTTGTTCTTAATGTGAGCAAGGTCTTATTGAAATTGTACAAAAATTTGTTTCAGCTACAAAGAAGGTGTAGACAAGAAACTGCAGGAATTTGAAGCTGAGATGGAACAGAAAAGACAAAAGGTAGAAAACTCCTTCCTTAAACATTTATGGCTACTTCGTCATAAAGAAGAAGAGAAAGTGGTTTTGTTGACTTCTCTTCATGTACATGTACTCATAAAAAATAAAGAGAGAAAGATGCACAAAATCATTAGCAAGTCAGCTGTTTGGTTTTTCCATTTTAACAGTTTATCTTTATGTTATTGTTAATAGGCAGTTTCCCAGATTAAACAGAAAGAAGTTACCCAAGCCTTTATAAGCCAGCAGGTCTGTGTTGTTCAAGCACTTCAAGTAGGGTAACAGTATCCTGAAATAGATATTTGAGATATTAATAAATACATGTATATAAATGAGAGACTTTGGGAGTAAAAAAGAAGTTTATTCTTAGAAATCAGCTTGCAAAGTCTTCGCATACCATTCATATCATCCAAATTCTAATGTCACTTGTCGGTCACTGGTTACCATAGCAATATGATGGCCTCCGATTTCACCCTTACCTTTAAAACTGCTGTTTGCACTAATACAAATAAAGCAACTTTTGTCATAATGTGATCAGCATGTTCTAGGCAAGATTTTTCAAAGTGAAAAAATCCAGATACAGAGGCCATGAAAATTTTCAAAGAAGAGTGTGTGTGCAATCTGTGGAGGCATGGTATTATAGCACATTGGGATCAATTTTGGTTCCTGGGAAACTGCCCTCCTACCCCTCCCCTAAGCCAACATTTTGCCCTAAGTGAGAAGTAAGTGATAATGTTGGCTTAGGGGAGGGGTAGGTGGGCAATTTCCCAGAAACCAAAATTGATCCACACATTGTTGTGGGGCCATACCTCAGAGCTGAATATCAGGAGCTCCATTCTAGGTCTCAGCATCTGTTGTTACCAAGAAAAAGTTTGCTATACAATAATATCGTTCTCTTTTCACTTAGGGGCTTTACCTCTATTGTTTACCACAAAGGTGTTACATAAACGTTGTATGAACTAAGTGATCTGGCTGCATTATAGTTTATATGTATTAGTGTGAGGTGAAGAGACCATGGTTCCATTTTTTTATGTTGAAATATAAAAGAAGAAAATAAAGAATGATGCCAATATCTAGTCCCTGTGACCAAAAATGTTAAGGTTATCCCAAAATTATTGGTTCAGTTTATTAATGTAGTTAGACAGTGTTGGTTTTTGTTATTGCTTCCTGAACATTTGATACTGCAGCCACCCCAGATACAAGTAACACCAGAAATTGTTTACAAGACAGTACAGAATGAACAAGGAGTTCTGCAAAATCCAACAGGATGGTTTGTATTGTCAAGCAAGGGAGGAAATCTAGGGAGTTTTTTTTTTTTTTT